TTCTCGATCGTATGCGTTCTACTTTCATTGCGCGGGGGATAGCGATTTCGTCATGAAACCTAGGGGCTGCCAAGTATCGTTGACGCGCTGTTGAAGTACCGCTCCTATGGCGTAATTGGAAGCGTCGACTTCCTCCTTGCTGGTAAAGGGATCGATATTCCTGGTCTGTAAGGTTGCTCTGTTGACGAGAGCAGCCACCTCCGTATTGTCACTCAGAGCGGCTCTTAACTTGACCGCCACCTCGTTCACTGCCACCGACCTGCCGAATTCAATGAATATATGGCCGGCTCTCGTTTTACGCACCCCCATAACTCCTTCCAATGTGCTCCTAGCCGCCATTATTTTCCTATAAACTTGAAGCCATTCACAGCCTTCTTCAACTTTATCTAGAATGGCTTCCTTCCATCTCCTATTCCTTGGTACGCCTCTCTCTTCGATAACAACCTGCCGGTTGTTACCCGGACGCACCATAGGGATAGCTTGCTCTAAGGGAGCTCTCCTCTCCCTTTTCCTTCTTTCTACCCTCATCCAACCTTCAGAATCCTCACTATAATCCTGTTCACTCCTTACCTTCCTGATTTTCCTCCCACACGCCTCGGCGTATGTAGCCTCTCCTCTTCAGGGCCTCTTAAGTTCCTCTACTCTCATTGTTTCAGCCGGCGATACCACTTTCCTTTTAGGGTATCCGCCTTTAGTCATCATCGCTCCTTTCATTCTTTCTGTCCTGTCTACCCTTCTTTCTATCTCGATAGGTTCTCTTCTTCTCTTTCTCCTTCTAGCCTTCTGCTCTCCACATTGTTCCAAGGAAGACAGGATGCCTTTAATCAAATTTCCTATCTCCCTAATCCCCTCATCCTTATCTTTATCCAACTGAAATTTTTTGACTAAAACATTTAACATCTGCGCTGCATCCGCCAAGGCTTGTATGAACCCTTTCAGCTCAGCCCTGGAGATCATGTCGTCCTCATTATCGACGTCACTTGTCTGCGTGTCATCCCTCGCGCTATCTTCAGCTTCACTAGCCATAGCCGATCTCACGTACTTAGCGCTGGCATTCTTTTCCACCGCCTTCCTGGCTAGCTGTTTACCGTAAAATATTCCTCTCCTTGTGACCGGCGTGCTGTGGTCGCTCTCTCTAATTCCAAAGGAATCTTCGGATTCCTGGACCACTCCTACTTCCGCCCTGTCACTAATCGTAGGGCTCCTCTGGAGTCTCTTACTCGGTTTAAAGGGGCAGAAATCGATAGGGGCAGATATTGCCACGTTATCACTTAACTTAATATCAAAAACCATTCTCGGTGTCTCTCCTCCCACTATCGCCTTCTTTGTCTTAATTTTCTCCTTCTCTTTCTCTTTCTCCCCAATAGCTCTTACCGTACGAGGGGGTGCCTGGGGATCTGCCTTCCCCCC